AAAGAAAGATAAAAGAGCGAAACAGACTAACTAAAAAAATAACACTTCCTTTTTCTCAGCAAATCTGTAAATCAATTTATATTCTACCTGAAAATCTTATCCAGCGTGGCATCCAACATAGGCTCACGAGAGAATATCTTATAAGTCATGTCTTTCTCGTGTTGCTTAAGCACACTGATGCTTGAGAACGGTAAATCAGGAGATTCTATGGTCCCCACCAAATCAGGAATGTCCCCTAACGAGTCTAGACCAAAATATGCCTGACCACAGCAAATTCGTAATTTGGAATTATTTAGGAACATAATAAGTGAAAACTAAGGTCAGTATATGTATATCAAGAGTTTCTAGCATATGTACACTCACGGGATTTAACAGACCCCTAACAAATGTTGCATGAGTGTGCTGTAATTTTCGTGGAGGTATTGATAATTCAGGATTGAAACAGATACTTGATTCATCCAAAGGTGTTGCCACCACTGTGACTTGACAGGTGTAACTTATTCCTTTTGAGGAGTTCAACTCATATAAATCTCCCAGGTAAGAAATAGAATTTATTTCCTCATGAAGATGTAATTCAACATTCGAACGGTTTATCAATCCAGCAGCCATCTGCCAGTTCCCTCCTTCAACAGCCCATAAACCGCCTCCAGACCCAGCCAAGGAAACTGCACCAGCTAGTCCACTGATTTTCACACTTTGTCCATAGTTTATTCTGGTGATGACCTGCAGAGAAAGAATCTTACACTCAGCTGAAATAAAACAAGTCATGTTTTTTTTTTTTTTAAGAGAGTTTCGGAACAAATGCCTCGAAAGTAAAGAGAAAATATGTTGTCGTCTAATTTCTTCACATTTGGGTCCATGAGGGAAACAGTATGTCCTGCCTTCATGATTTGGTATACCTTATACTTTGTTGACATGTAAGTAAGAAAAAAACCAAATTAACCAATTATCTTCCAAAACACCCAAGTTCTATGTATGTTCTCAAGTTTATTTCAATGTCCTCCGTTCTCATAGATCCCAAAACTGCCAGCAATGGCCTTGTATAAAAGACAACAAAGTTCGTCCATCTTATACATGTTACTAATCAAGAAATAAAAACTTGGTGATTCCTACTGGTCGACTCAAACATGTAAATATGATAAGTGGCTGCTAAACAATATATCTTACCTAGATCCAAAAGAACAACTCAAAGAATCTCTTCACGGTAAGTGACATGAATGATTCCTAACCAAACTGTAAAGCCAGCATCCTTCAGTAGTAATAAATTGGTCAGCAAATATGGGTCGTACTATGGGTTGCAATCATGTACGTTAATGCATTAGGTTGCAATGAGTATCGAGTGTTCAGTAAGCAAGAGATTCACTATAGACAGAATCGAAACAGAAGAAAAGCCTTTACTTTAGTGGTAAGAAAGCGGTAAACTAGAATGTGAACTTTGAAGTGGAGCTGCAAGAAGATAATAAGCATCTTTGTACAGATATAACGGAAACCTAAAAATTAGAAACAAATCAAGAGCAATACAGGTTGAGGTTATTAATTGCTCATAAGGAAAACAATAACTATTCCAGAAAAGTTAAAGAAAAGTGGTGCATAAGAAAAAGTAAAACAGAACAAAGGAATATCTCACAGTTACAAGCTCTTCAATAAGTATAGAAGATAATCCAACTTCCACCAGTTCCTCCACTAATGTTCTTGTTGTCAGGTTATACAGTCCAGCCCATTTCAGCATTCCCTCCACCGTATCAAACACTGGCCGGGCTTCAAAATCTTCATAATACCTCAGAAAATGATTGAGCATCGCCTACAAAAGTTCATAAATTGAAAATTATCACAACAGAGAAAGTGAAGATGGCAAACTGTGAACAAATAGATCGACCCAGCATATATGATGTAGTGGAGATGAAACAACTAGCTCAAAAGTGCTGCTAAGAGTTGTACATTGCAACTCACATCATACAGTTCACATATACTGGACACATTTATTTACATGAATACATAAACCATATATAAACATGAATTATAATCTCAATTTACAGAGCAAGTGACAAAAGTAAGATTGAGCTATTGACAAATTATTCAAATTCAACTTTCTCTAAAGGAACTTAAACTGAAGTTCTGATTTCAAGAGTTAAGAATCGCAAAATGCATATCCACAAACTCCAAATAAAAAATGCAATGAGACCACACAACACCCTATCAGAATATTTGCTGTAATACTTTCAGGATCGCAATCGTAAATGCATAAACAAATTTTAGGAGTAGGGAACCTAGGAAACTGGGGCTAAGTACCTCAACAAAGCTACTCATTCTGTACAGAGAAAGGGCTCCGTATCTCAACAACATCATAATGGAATTAGCGATCGACACAAGGCGCTGAACAATAGGCAGCTTGGAGTTGGAGCTCAGCGTCTTGTAGACAAATTTATGACCGTCCCAAATCCCCAAAGAGAGAGAATCATCGGCGTGCTTTGGGGCTTTGACCTTGAGGTTGAGATACTTGGTGTAACTCGAGACATGGTAGTTCTTTGGGTGGAGAATGGAGCCGCCGGCCTCGAAGGTCTCGCCGGCGATGGTGACGGTGGCCATGCGCCCTCCGACGACGCCGTTGCGCTCGAAGATAGTGATGCGGCCGATCGTCTGTGGGTCGGAGTAGCGGCGGAGGAAGTGGGCGACGGAGGCGCCGCCGATTCCGCTGCCAATTATACATACACTGTGTGCGCGCGCTGGTGAGGGATGTAGTGAGAGAAGGATGGTACAGAAGATGAGGGCTGTGAGTTGAGGACGATATTGCTTGTTCATTGTGCTTTGATGTTGGATACAGAGATTGTAAGTTAAAGTCAGCTTTTTGATCTCCTAGGCCTCTTTTACTTTGTTGATACTTTTGTTGATTTTGTTGATGGGATTAGATAATTAAAAATATCCATTAGCGTTTACTTTCAAGAATTTGGATGAAATTGATCCCTTGTGGCATGGTATGCGGGCCCACATGCTTATCAAGTATTCGGGGATTAATTCCATCCCGCCCTCACTTTGGGATGGTTTTATCCCAAAACAATTACCATTTTGTTCTCAAAATTATATACGAAAGACAAAAATACTTTTCAATGTCTGTGTATTAACCATAAAATACCATATAAATAATGACAATTGGTCATTTGTCTTAGTTTTGCAGAGAAGGGTTGCATGCGTGCACTTCTTCGTTTTTTCCATCGACAATAGGTAACCTCGATTTTTGCGCTTTTTTTGGTTTTCGATTTAATTATAAGGAATCATTGTTTATTTTTTTCGAGAAATCAGCTTCGTCGATTGGTAATTCGATTTTTTTTTTTGTCGAAGAAACCCTAATTTGCAGAGGTGAACAACGCGTCGACGCCTTAGATTTTCAGTTGGGTGTAGGTAGACTTATGTTTGTAGTTGTAATTATATTTCCTTCTAATTCAGTTACTCAAAATGTTAATTTGTTTTTCGATCCTAACATATTTGTTGACATTTCGGCTTGATTGACTGCTAATTTTTTTTTCTTGTTCAACAAAGCAGTAATTTGCTGAGTGGAACGACGACTTCGGTGCCTCCGTGGGCGTGTAGGTTAAACTCATTTTTTCTGCTAATTGCTAAACTTAATATCCAATTGTGGTATCTTTTTTACTCAAACAATCAAATTGCATATATATAGCTCGAAATTTACAAGTCGTGTAACCAACGGGTTATAAAATGTTCATGGGGATCTCACATCCGAGCATCCCTACCATAAGCATACATGTCATAAACTAATCTATTACAAACCAAAACGAAGCCTACCAATTATCAACAATCACCCAACTAGATAAAGAGGATAACATGGCATAAATATCATCTACAATCATAGCCACTTTCGAATCAAACCCATCCTTCTGCACAAGCTGCTTCCTCAATCTGGTATCAGCTATGAGTATCTCCACCTTATGACATTCTTTCCATCTGCCTTCTAACAACCATCTTCTCAGATCCATCAGTTGCCTTTCCACTAAACATTGTAAGTCAGCACTGGAACATGTGTTCCTATAAATGACTCCCTGTTGTACCTCTTCATTGATACCCCATGTTCTGCCTTCTATCATCCCCCTCAGCCAAGTACTCCATCAGCACTGAGTGCATCAATTGCCACCCCTACTCCTTGAAGTTGCCTTGTTCTGTGGTTCTGAAAACTGCATATGTCCTTATATTCTTGCCATTCCATCATAGTCTTTGCCACCATCTGTCTCTCTGACACCCATTCCTTATTGAAGAGCCAACAATTTCTTGTTTTCCACAACCACCACATAATATATGATGAAAGTGAAATTCTGTCTTTCCCATTTTCAATCACTTTGCTGGTACGTATATCCTCCCACATCCCTTTAAAGTCCACCTGATTCTGCTGTAGTATACGCCACTCTAATCCAGCTAACTTTCACACTTTCCTAGGTCTTGCACAGCTGAATATAATGTGTTCCAGATCCTCTTTTGCCTCACCACACCCTCCACATACCCCATCAACATCCATTCCTTTTTTTTTCCAGGTTCTGCAGAGTTCCCATACAATTTTGGAGACATCTCCAAATGAAATTTTTTACCTTTGGTTTAATGGATAGCTTCCAAGTCTTTGTCCACATCTGCTTTGTAGATTGGTTATTTGAACTGCTCCCTTCCTGCCCCAGCATGTGTTATTTTTGCCTTTGGATTGTCTGATATGCACTCTTCACTGTAAACTTCCCATCTTTGTTGTGGTGCCATATCAATCTGTCTTTAAGGCCCATCTTACTGAATTGGATTTTAAGGATCATCTCAGCATCATGAGGAATGAATGTTCGCTGTATCAACTCTATATCCCAATCTTGAGTGTCTGGATCCAATAGATCAGCCACCTTGTTCAGTCTTTGTCTGTCCCCTGGGAATGTACAAACAGGTTTGAAATTCTGATTGTTTAGGATCCAAGGGGAATCCCAAATATCAATTGACAACCCATTTCCCACCAGGTACCTACCCCCAAACTCAAAGATTTCCTAGCCTCTAACCATCCTTTCCACATCCAAGAATCACTATCTCTCTTTTTGACTAACATGAGATTTTGATTGTGAAAATACCTCCCCTTTATCACCCTGCTCATCAAGATATTTGGATTAGTTAACACTCTCCAAAGTTGCTTAACAATCAAAGCGTCATTGAAGTCTTCAAACACCTTAAAACCTAGACCCCTTTCTGCCTTTGGCTTTGGCTGAGCAATTTTAGACCACTTGACCCAATTCTCATTATTTCTACCCTACCAAAAATTTGCAATTTGCTGACAAAGATCCCTACAAACCCCCATTGGCAACCTCAAAACTGACATCACATATATAGGAAGAGCAAACAACACAATTAAGATCTCCCTCCCTGCCTCACTCAAAAACTTATTCTTCCAGTTGGTGACTTTAGCTACCACACATTCCTTGACAAATGAAAAAGTGTCTTTTTTTGACCTACCCAACCCCAGAGGCAAACCCAAATGTTTGGAGTACCTAGCAATAGCCACCCCTCTGAATAAAGGGCAAACATCTTTTTTTATCTGATCAGAAGTATTCTTTGAGAAGAAAATACTGGACTTATACAGGTTTATGGCCTGTCCAGAAGCATCACAATATAAATTCAGAATATTCAAGCGAGATTGGGCATGATATGTGTCTGCTTTGGAAAAAATAATGGCATCATCTGCAAAAAACAAATGGGAGACAGTGGGTGAGTGTCTGCTAATCTGGCATCATCTGATATGTGTCTGCTTTCCATATCCATCATCAAATTGTGGTATCACTCGTATGCAAAATCTGACATTCATGTTTGTCCCTTCCAATTGTTACTTGAATGTGCTAATAATTATGGTTAATTGAGGCATGTGTGCCCTAAATAGTAAGTCTGACTTTAGTTATGCCTATATCCGAGTTCATTTTCTAGTATTTGTCGTTCAATTTTTAGGAACCATGTTATGAGTATTTGTTATATACATTAACTGTTGAGACGTGTTCTTCTATTATGTCTATCATGAAGAACCAAGGTCTCGGTGACTCTACTAATTCTTAACCCTAACTGTGATACTTAGATATGTGGGATGTTTGTTTGTTACTTTGATTTAACATGGGTCAGAACCAAGTATTGGTTCAATATGCTCCGTATCTTGGGTAACAATAATGAATGCATGATATCTATTTATTGGCATTAGGGAACCGTGTCATGGACATCCAGGTTGATGACGTCCCCTTGAGGAACTCATAAGGATTAGGGAACCATGTTATGAGTATTTGTTATATACATTAACTGTTGAGACGTGTTCTTCTGTTCTGTCTATCATGAAGAACCAAGGTCTCGGTGACTACTAATTCTTAACCCTAACTGTGATACTTAGATATGTGGGATGTTTGTTTGTTACTTTGATTTAACATGGGTCAGAACCAAGTATTGGTTCAATATGCTCCGTATCTTGGGTAACAACAATGAATGCATGATATCTATTTATTGGCATTAGGGAACCGTGTCCTGGACATCCAAGTTGATGACGTCCCCTTTTCAACTAACATGAGATTTTGACTGTGAAAATACCTCCCCTTTATCACCCTGCTCATCAAGATATTTGGATTAGTTAACACTCTCCAAAGCTGCTTAACAATCAAAGCGTCATTGAAGTCTTCAAACACCTTAAAACCTTGACCCCTTTCTGCCTTTGGCTGAGCAATTTTAGACCACTTGACCCAATAAATTTTATCCCCACTCCTCCCCCCTTCATTATTTCTACCCCACCAAAAATTTGCAATTTGCTGACAAAGATCCATACAAACCCCCATTGGCAACCTCAAAACTGACATCACATATATAGGAAGAGCAGACAACACGGTTTTAATTAAGATCTCCCTCCCTGCCTCACTCAAAAACTTATTCTTCCAGTTGGTGACTTTAGCTACCACACATTCCTTGACAAATGAGAAAGTGTCTTTTTTTGACCTACCCAACACCAGAGGCAAACCCAAATATTTGGAGTACCTAGCAATAGCCACCCCTCTGAATAAAGAGCAAAATCTAACGTTCATGTTTGTCCCTTCCAATTGTTACTTGAATGTGCTAATAATTATGGTTAATTGAGGCATGTGTGCCCTAAATCGTAAGTCTGACTTTAGTTGTGCTTATATCCGAGTTCACTTTCTAGTATTTGTCGTTCAATTTTTAGGAACCATGTTATGAGTATTTGTTATATACATTAAAATTAAGTTCCTTCTGGTAGGCTTAAATTAAATGAAATGTGATTTTATTTCTAATGTGTTGGTTTCTATGGAAAGTTGACCATGTGTATATAAAAATTAATATGTGAGCTATGGCGTTGTTTTGTTTTATTCTTCAATTCGCCCTTATTTTGTTCTTTTCTTGCTATGTGTATTATAAATCCTCCATACCTATTTGGGGAAACGCAAAAAGAGAAAATTGGTGTCTATAATGTGTTCGAAGTTTTTGTTCCTGAAATTGGTTAATTATATGATCCAAACTTAGTGACATACCTGTTTGTGGGATGATGGAATGCTAGCTTTCTACCTTTCTTGTCTCGAGATTGGCTTTGAAAGATTAAACAGAGAGTCTATGAAAATTAAGTACCTTTTGCTCTAAATGAACAAAATTATGGTTTCATGAGGAAAGTGAAAAGCGTGAGAGTATATGATATGGAGAAGGAGATTTTGTGTTGTGTGTAAATAGTATTAAAGTGTTTTAAGTGGGGTAATCATATGTATGCAAATTGGGTTTTTAATATTGGAGCAATGCATTCTCACCCTTCTTTTCATTTGTCTTATGATCTTTAGGTTTCATTTTATTTCTTCTTTAGGGGGTTTACAGTATAGTTTAGCAACTAAACCAGATAGAGTCATGCATATATATGATGTCTAGGCTTCAAGTGATTAACTAAATTATTAAGTTTATATAAG